CAGAGGACTAAAGTTTTGAGTCCTTCTATTAGGAATGTTAAATTTTAAACGTGTTAGTAAATGCTGGCTATCTACATCCCCGTTATTAAGGTTATGCAGAAAAACTACACCGATCATTGTCCTACGATTTGTTAAGCTAGGTAAGTTTATAAGTAAAAGTATGCTACTGTAGGATGGAAGCTGAAGATTTGGATCCCAGTATAGTCCTCTAAGTGCGAACATTCTATGCGGTCCTTATGTACTCCATATTGGGGACTCCAGGCACATGAACCATACTCCAGTATAGGACGGACCAAGGAAATAAATAATGTTTTGGTTATATAGGGGTCATTAAATTCTTTTGACCACCTTTTGATAAAACCAAGGACTCCTTTAGCCTTATTAACCATTAAGGAAATATGGTCGGAAAATTTAAGTTTGATGTGTAATAGGATGCCGAGATCATTAACCTGGGTTAATTTTTCTAAGGCAATCCCATTAATAGAATAAGTAGCTTGCAGAGGGCAAGAACGATAAAAAGACATATGTTTGCATTTTGATCCATTAAGTATTAGATCATTAGCCAAACACCATTTTTGAAAGTTATCAAGGTCAGACTGAAGACTGCATTGGGCAGAGATGGATTTGTACTGAAGACAAAGCTTTACATCATCTGCATACATAAGAACTAGAGAGTTCGTTAAAGCAGGGGGCAAGTCGTTTATAAAAAGCGTAAATAATAACGGGCCAAGATGACTTCCTTGAGGGACGCCGGATGTAGCACGGACCAGACGGGACTGTATGTTTTTAAATAAGACTCTTTGTGTCCTTCCATCTAAATAGCTGGAGATCCACGTCAAGAGGTCTTTAGGAAAACCCAGCATATTCAGTTTACTCAACAAGAGTGAGTGGTTAACTGAATCAAATGCTTTGCTGAAGTCTGTGTAAATTACATCGGTTTGATATCCCTTACAAAAGCCATCTATGACAAAGGATGTCAACTCCAATAAGTTTGTGGTGGTGGAGCGACGCTTAATAAAGCCATGCTGACAAGGAGTGATAATCGAAGAGCAAAGGTGTTGCAAATGAGGGGTAATTAATTTTTCAAATAACTTTGGAATTGCCGACAACTTAGAGATGCCTCTGTAGTTGGCAGCATCGGACTTTTTACTTTTTTTATGTAGGGGAATTATAAATGATTCCTTCCACTTAAGGGGAAAAATCGAGGTTTCCAAAGATAAGTTGAAAAGTCTTAGAAGAGGTTTGCACAGAGCCCTGGCGCAGTATTTTAGCACACAGCCTGGTACTCCGTCGGGGCCTGGCGAATAAATGGGTTTTACCCTTAAAAGACCAGATAATAAGTTATTCTCAGAAAAAGACGGACAGAAAATAAGATTTGCTGCTTGAATGTTATATGCATAAGGCTGATTAGTCAATTTAGGAGAAGAATAAGTTGTTTGAAAAAATTCTGCGAATAGATCGGCAATGGCCTGATCCGAAGTCGCAGAGGAATTTTCAAACGTAAGCAGAGGTGAAAAAGATACGTGTTTACGCTTAGTGTTTACAAAATTATAAAACTGCTTTGGATCCTGAGTAAATTGAATCCGGCAGCGGTCAATATAATTCCTATAACATTCAGCGTTATGCACGGTAAAAATCGATCGAGCTAGTAGGTATCTTGAGAAATCAACACTACTGCAGGTTTTTTTATATTTAAGTAAAAGCTTATTTTTTTTATTTTTTAGGTTAGTGAGGCACCTTGTATACCAAGGAGGATTTGTTGAAGCGGACGGATGTTTCCAAGGCACACATGAGTCAAAAAATTTATTTAAAGTAAAATAAAATTTTTCTAAAGTGACATTAAGATCAGTGCACGCCAGAATATCAGACCAGTCAAATGTATCGATAAGGCTATTAAGTTTCTGAAAATCAGCTTTACGGAAACAGCGAATCTTATTTACCACGCTCGGAGATATCTGATCGATACCAGGAGTGGTTTCGATTGAGACCTCCAGCGTGGGGTGATATGGATCCTCTGTGGTTGAAAGGGGAAAAGCTCTGGAGAGAGCAGTACCATCAGGATCAGATACAAAGTCTAAGAGCCGACCTAGCGAATTTCTAACATGATTGATCTGACCTAGGGACATGTTAAACATGCCCGCGGTGAAGTCATGGTAAGTTATAAGTGACAAAGATGGTGAGTTATCGACGTTGGACCACTTTAATTCTGGGATATTAAAGTCGCCCACCGCTACGAGTTGGTCACGATCCGTCATAAGATTAGAGACGTATCGAATAGCGGACAAATGCTGCCAATATGTGGGCGGTTCAGAAATAGGAGGTATATATGAACATGTAATGTATAAAGCTTTCACGGACATAGTGATTTTAACGCAAATAAATTCTATGTCACCAAACTCTTGGGATTTCACCTCTTCAGAAGCAAAAGTAGAGTCTACCGAAATGAGGACTCCACCTCCTCTTCGCTGAGATCGATCCCGTCTAAAAGTGGTGTACTTACTTGGAAAAACTTCGGAGCTAAAGATCTCCGGATTTAACCAAGTTTCTGTAAATGCTATTATATGGGATGCAAAGAAAGAACTATCAGAATATAGCTTGGGGAGTTTGCTACGTAGCCCCCTAGTATTCTGATAGGTAAGAGTTAGTGGGGAAACTAGTTTTTTGGGTTAGTGGCCAAAGAAGAGGTGGAGGGTTGGTCAGTGGTTCCGATATTGGGAAGTCTCACTTCCACTGGTTTATTAACTTTTTTTTTCACGGAACTAGGCTAATGTTCTTGGACGAAAAGATTCTCTGGCCAAAAACTGGGAGAACAAATCGTCTTGAACATCAGCGCGGGCACACGAATCTTGAAAGAAGACGTGCGCCTTGTATAATTATATTTAAATTTAGCTATGTTCTCCACCTTTATATCGGCTTTAGTTTTGACTTTGATATAAGCCGAGATATCAATCTCTGAAGTATCAGGGGCAAGCCGAGAAACAAATATATGTTTCGATGGAGGAATCACCTTTAAGGGTTTTGGTGTCGCAGGTACGAGAACTGCAGCATCAGTCGGTGCCGGTGGTCCGGACTGTGGAATACCAATTCTTACGCTTAGGGGACTCATTTAGCAGCTAAAGGCCACTAAATTGAGTGTCAAGCGCACAGAGCTGTTCATTGATTTTACGAAAACCAGTGATCAGCTCTTTAAATCCATTTTTGGTCTGCCTCATGAACGACCTCATTACGCCTTGCACAGCACGACAATTTTCACAACAATAATGAATACCAGACCTACGGGAAATGGCATCCGAAACTGATGCAGTGAAATCGGCACACTTGGCTGTTTTAGGCTTTAAGATTGTTAAGATTCACAAGATTTAATTCACAAAGTATGTAAACACCGGTTTACCAATATTTGTCATAAACGCAGTGCGCACAAAAAAACACGACCGTTCGCTTGAAAGAAAGAGAGGGAAGTGACCCAACTTTCGTGTTTTTGAAGATAGAAAGCTGGAACTTGGTACAGATTATATTTTTTGTCAGTTTATCCGACCTACCAACTTTGGTATTTTTGAAGAAAGAAGTTTGGGACTTATTTTAAATTTTGTATTACTATAAATTGGGTTATATTATCATATTCTCATAAGGATCGGCCAACTATATTCAATGTTTGCGATATATATCCGGTTTTAACTGCAAGGGTATATCAACTTCGGCTCCGGTCGAAGTTAGCTTTCCTTTCTTGTTTTTCTCTAAAGAACAGTCAATTAATCCCAATTTACTCAAGCCAAATAAACTTATGTATTGGAATATACTTATTTTCGATGGACTTTTTAAATTTAATTACATATTCTTATAAGATTCCATAAAATCATGTTATTATTATTATATATTCTGTTAGTTCTTCAAATGACTTATAGATTAAAAAAAACTTCAACGGATTCGGTTTGTTGAAAGTATACCTTTTTAATAAAAATTCATCTACATAAGGTCTGCGAAATAATTCACCTTATCACCGTATAAAGTTGTTATTAAAACAAAATTCTCTATGATTTTAAAATAAGTTTAATTTTAATTTTTAATTTACAAAATAACCTAATCAGATTCATTTGTTTATATTTAAAAAAATTATAAGAACATTTTCTTAAAAATAATGTAATTTATTTTAGAACGAAATAAATGAACTGATCGAATTAGAATAATGTTAATAGAAGTAGGTTTTGTTTGTTTTATTATCTTTATAACCCTCTAATACCCAAGAGTGCCTCAAGGCACTTATTATATAATTTGTATTATCTAAAAAATGAAACAACTTTTAATAATTTGAATTATATTTGTCAGTTTACAATAAAATTGTGAACTTATGAGTGGAAGCTTTCATAGCTCTCCGAAGCTTTAAAACGGTACTTTTTCTGTGTTTTTTACATGCATCATGCATTCGCGTGCAAAAATTGCTGTGAGATGCGTAGTGTGTTTATGTTAATTAATAAAAGTTAAATAACTTCAAAGCAGCCAAATAAAAATTATTTTTCTTGAAGGTAAGATATTATATTATCCAAATCAAGTTGTATATAAGCAATTTTATACAACAAGTGCGTTGCAGCGGTGAAATTGTGATAAGTGCCTTGAGGCACTGTTGGGACACCACGCGACCTTTTACAAACACCGCTTTTTTCACAATTGCATGCAATTTTTGTGTTTGTTTCTGTTTATTAAATGGTTTCTCATTGAAGACAAACCGAAATGGCAGGTCGAATGCGTAGACGGTTTAAATTATCCGAGTTGACCGATGAACAGTTGCTGGATTTGTTCAATGATGTTGAAACGGACGAGGAACTCTTGGGTAATTCTAGTGATGACGATGAAGACAGCTTGGATTTAGTAGAATCACTTAACGCGGCATTAGAGGACGCCGAAACTATTTCATTTATAGACAATAGCGGAGATATTGTCAAGGAAAACGTACAGCAGCTAGAAAATACCCAAAATCCTGTAAAAGAGACCTCGTTCACCACTGCCGACAATTGAATATTCAGTGTGTACATCTGAGCCTTCTTCTGGTGGTTTTAATTGTGCCGGTAAGAAATCTAAATCATAAAGTGGTACTAAAATAAGTAATTAATTTATGAACAGGTGTTGAATTAATAAACAAGGTGCCAACTAAGGTAACATGGAGGCAGCAGTCGATGCAGTTACATGTCAACGACATAGCTTTTCGGGGAGATTCTTCACTCCCAGATAGTATAAAGGAACTTGCAACACCTTTGCAGATTTTCTGTTACTTCTTCGATTCACAGATTATGAATATGATTGTTGAAGAAACCATTCGGTCAGCACTAACGAAAAACATAAACAATCAATTCAAATTCAGCATTGACGATGCCCATCACTACATTGGAATTTTAATTTACATGTCAATTTATCGATACTCGAATATAAAAAGCTACTGGGGTATAAATGCATTAGGACCTATAAAACACACCATGTCGCGAAACAAGTTTGAGGAAATCAAAAAATACTTTTCACTGCGGGATGAGAGCAAGCGAATCCAGAAAGGTGAGCCAGGATACGATTCACTGTATCGCACGCGTACGTTTTTAGATCACCTTAACCAGAGGTTTGACTCCGTGCCAAAGCAAGCACGACTCTGCGTCGATGAACAAATGTGCAGCACAAAAATGAGACACCACCTTCGGCAGTATATGCCTAATAAGCCGCATAAGTGGGGTATTAAGCTGTTTGTGTTGTGCGACTCATTTGGTTATGCCTACCGGTTTGAAATTTATAGTGGTGCAGGTGACAACGTTATCTTGCCTGCTCATCCAGATCTTGGACCGTCGGCAAACATTGTTGTACGCCTGACAAAAACGGTAGAAAGTTTCAAAAACTACATCATTTATTTTGACAACTTTTACACTTCTTTACCGTTGATGGTTTATCTGCGTGCTAAAGGGATATATAGCCTAGGAACAGTGCGTGTTAATCGCATTCCAAATTGCAAGCTTCCGAATGACATTTCGATCAGGAAACAGCCGAGAGGTTTTTCGACTGAGTATGTCGGTTCGTCATTTGGCATCGATATAACAAATGTGTTATGGAAAGACAATAAAGCCGTTTGCTTGCTATCAACTTATGTTGGTATTAAGCCATTTTTGAAATTAAATACAAATGAAGGAATAGCAAAGATAGCTCGTTATGACAAGAAATCTAAAAGACATATTGAGGTTGATTGTCCCCAAATTATTCGGGAATATAATGCCCACATGGACGGTGTTGACCTCATTGATGGGCTTATGGGTCGTTATCATATTCGAGCAAAAACACAAGATGCAATGACAAGAATTTTTTACCATTTGGTTGATATGGCAGCAACAAATGCGTATGTTTTATACAGGCGCATTAAAAAAGAAAACAAGAGCACAGACAAGTTGTTGGAGCTTCCGGAGTTTCGGGAATCAATTGCTGCTGGCTTAGTGGCATATCAATGCAAGCGTAAACGCGGTCGCACATTCCGTGATTATGATTGAAAATTTCCGTCACCATCATCCCAGCGAATTGCACAACCAGGTTGGACCATGCAATCCCCATCCACACCGAGATCTTCAAAGCCATCGCTCACAGTTGGTGAAAAATCAAAGCATCCAGTTTCAGATGTACGGTTTGATGAAGTCAACCATTTTCCTGTTTGGATGAGTCGAGACAGTGGCAAAAGATGGTGCAAGCACTGCAAGAAATCCCAAACACAATAAAGGTGCACAAAATGTAATTTGCACTTGTGCTGTACGGCAAATAAAAATTGTTTCTTTGAGTACCATAATCAAAAATTAGAATAAAATCATGTACGAAAAAATTTACTTAAAGCCCCAAGAGTGCCTTGAGGCACTTATTTACCTTTGTTCGATTTACAGGTAAACTAAGACTAGTACAAACTTCTTGAGGTCATATTTGAAATTAAAAGCTATATTTTATCCCAAAAAAAATTACCCAACTTATTTCTTTTAATATTTCTACAATTGGGGCCTAGAGGGATAAGCTAAATATGTCTTCCATTATGATTAACAACCTTTAATATGCGGTCTGGCATTGAATTCACCAAATTTTTAAGAAGTAATCCATACATTTTGTCATATTCAGCTACAATAGCTTCCTTTAAATCCTTTAAAGAGCCAAATTGCCGCCCATGCGCATAAACCTTGCTGGACAGGATTCCGCAAAGGTTTCCGATCGGGCTTAGATCAGGACTTTTAGGAGGCCAGCGCAAAACTGGAATATTTCTTTCTTCAAAAAACTTTTTGTGTATTTTGAAACATGGATGGCAGCATTATCCTGCTGAAATGTCCAAGAATTCCCGAAAAATTTTTCACCAAAATTATAAGAGCATCGTCAAGGAGCTCCAGATATTTTTCGGACTCTTTCCTGCAAATCCAAGCTACCCATACCATAAGAGAACCACCTTAAAAATTGCGCGACACATTAACTTGCTTGGGGGTCCTGATATCGCGATAATAATATTGATAGCCATCTGGACCATCCAAATTAAATTTTTTTTCGTCGCTAAAAACAATATTTTTCCATTCCTGGTCTTAAAATTTAAGCCTCTCTGCAAATTGCATGCGGGAAGTTTTGTGTCGTGGGAGAAGTTGGCATTTGACACTTTTTTTTCATATGAAATGAACGGATCTGCTCGTAAAATTTTTTGGACTCGACGCTTTGAAACTGGAAGGGTTAGTTCTTGGCAAATTTCAGCAGCGCTCAAGTTTTCTTCAACCGCCAAATATTTTATTCGCCGTTTAGTGCGATCTTGCACAAGGGGTGGGCGCCCTGAACGTGGCTTTTTACCATAATTAACAGGATCTTTTAGAAACTTTTGAGTTGTGAAAAAACTTCTTTCCATTTTCGATGCGATTTTACGCAAAGATATCCCAGTTTCACGATATGCCAATATTCTGACTCGCTCTTCATCCGAAAGATATTTTTGTTTAGGCATTGTTACTAAAATAAACGAAAACTTAGATTACAGAAACTAATTTGTCATCAGATCTTACTTGTTTTATTTATTTTTCAATCAAAAAGTAACTTTTACAGACTTTTTACAGCTACAGACTTGACTGGTTAGACACAACGACGAAAACTGATATGATCAGCTCAATTAATTATTTCGTTGTGTACACCAAGTTGCCACAGAGCTTCCAAAAAAAAACAAACGGTTGATAGTCAAATTTTATGTTTACCTTTCAGTTCTTGGAAAAAAATTTGTTGAACAAAATAATGCAAAAAAAAATTGAAAAATTTATCTATAAAACTTTTATACAACGATATTTAAACAAATTCACAAAGGTGAATTATTATTATTATTAATTAATAAAAATTAATTAATCGTATTCCTAAACAAATATAAAATGAATGATTAAATATTTAAATATAAACAAGTAAAAATATTTTTGTTTTCATTACTCATTACTTAATAATTACTTTCATTTAGGGATGTCGGAAATATATCAAAATATCAATATATCGATATATTTTCTTTTAAAAAAATATTATTATCGGAATATTTTTTGGGCAAAAATAGTCGATAATAATATTTTTGAGTTGGTATTTCCGATATTTTATGTTTGGTCACTCTTAAGCCAGAAATTGGCATTAAGTTATCTTATTACGCCTGGAAGTACGGTTCCATCTGAACGGTTGGCTTCTGCCATTAAATGTATTGTCTGTGACTCCCGTAGTCGAATGACAGACCAGCATATAACCGAAAGAGTTTTTTTTAAATCATTGAAGAAAGATTTGTTTTGTAATTAAGAGTAATTAGGAGCATTTAATAAGATAATTAGGTAATTAGCATTATTTAGTACATATTCCATAAATTAATTAAGTTTTAAAAAACTTTTTTTTTTATATTAAGTTTTTTTATAATTAAATTTGAATACAATGACCTTAATAATTTTGTTATTTTTTATTTCAAATAACGTAAATAAAAGTTGCTTGAGAGTGGGTATAAATATTTGTTGTTTTTTAAATTCACTTTTTAAATAAAAAATAGCTCTTATTTGCAGTTCATGGCGGATGAAAACACATATTAAAACCTTTTTTAAATTTACAAATAACCTTTTTTCAATTTTAGCTGACCATAAAAAATATCAAAAATACTCGATATATCGATTTTTTTATGTGATATTTCTTAATATTATCGATTGATATTTTTTTCACTGCAAATATCATCAATACGATATTTTTTTAAAAACCAACAACCCTACTTTCATTACTCATTACTTAATAATGAATACGCCAAGTTTCTTAGGGTAGCAAGCCTGAAAAATTACAAAAATCAAAAATTGTGTGCTGGCTTCAAAACGAAATCGCACGGAAACATGCGCCCGTGTATGTAAATGTGTAAATACGCATACATACAACAATCGATCTAAGCGCAGACCAACCTTATTCATTGGGCTTCTTTCATTGACTGAAAAACAGAAAACTTTCAATGACAATATAAGCGTAAGAAAGAGAGAAAGATTCTCTCTGGGGGCCTGCTGATGCCCGCTTGTCGCAAGAAATTTCGTCACCTTTTTTTGTCGTATGAAATGAGTAGTGTAGTCCAGTGGTGGGAAAACTCTCATTGTTCATAGCACGCGTGCCGCAGGGCTTCCGGCACACTGACAGTGTGAGCACGCTCGAATTTTTTTAGAAACTTTCTCATTTGCTCTTCTTATACTTTGAATTTAGAACCAACCAGAATACAACCAGAAAAAATGTTATACATGTGTGCGTTTTGCCTTCCACAGGTCTAGTCTATATGTTGGTGCTTGTATTCTACAAATACCGGGTATACAAAAATTTTTTAAAATACAATTTCTTCCCTTAGGTGTACCGCGAAAACTGTGGGTGATGGAACCTATCTTTGTTCTGGACTTTGGTCCAGAGGGGAGCCTAAAGTTTATGGAGCAGGTGATACTATGCTTGGAGATTTTTTGCTGTCGGATGTGTAAATTCAAACCGATTTATCTAATTATATTTCATTGGGATGGGTCTCGCGAGTCTAATTTTACTTTCACGAGGGGGAACTTTCACGAACTTACTTCGGTAAGTTTCATGAAATTAAATGTGCTGTATGCGTAAAAAGCATACGTGTCACGGGCCAATGTCACAGGCCCAATCGGGCCAAGACTGCAAAAGGTATTTTTAATCCTAAATCTAAATTAATTTACATACCAAGATTAAGTACGGCAAGCGTATTTGTGCATTTCCATTCCCTCTCTGTTGTCGACTTGGAATCATTTATAACCAAGGGCACCCAGCCACCAAATACATACATTTTGTTAGCGATCATCGTCGAGCTATGCAAAGAACGTGGTAATGGTGGCTGTCCAAGTGTTCGTGGTTTGGACCATGTCATGGAATCTAAAAAAATTTTGGAAAATTTTTTATTGCCGAAAGTGAATATTTTTGATTAGATAGATAAGAAAAACAATGTATTTTGATTTTATTAGTTATACCCTTGCAAGGGTTATTATAATTTTATTCAACAGTGTGCAACGCACTGAAGCAGTCATCTCCGAATTCACTGGGCCTTGAACTCTCCTCGTTCCCTCCCGACACTTCAAGATACAGCCATTCGTTCTCCAGCAATGACCGCCCCTTCTTGAGCTTTGACGCCGTATCTCCAACTCAAGGGGAACTGCTCCAAAAAAATCTTTCATTGCTTCTGTAGAGACAGTGCGACACACAGGCATACTCCCCAACAATATGACACGCTGCACACTGCAAATTTTCGCACTGCCAGCAACAGACGATACTATCTCGCTCTACTTGTTCCGCAAGCAAAAATAAGTCACTTTACATAGTGCGGACCGCTCTCCTGATGAGGCACCCTTCATTACTCAAAACTCGGCGCAATTTCCCAACCGCACCCACCAACTGGTTCTTAATACTGGCAAGGTATAGTGTGAAGAATAACCGTTCCTAAACGGTCAAGCCCAGCTACTTCACTTGTTTCACATACCTTATGCTGGAGTCGTCAAGCCTTAACATACCTCTAAGTGTCTTTCACAATTTTCCCCTCCCGGAAGCCAAACTGCCTATCAGACATTGACTCCCCACACTCTCCTGCAGCCGTTCCACCAGCGCTCGCTCCAGAACTTTTGCAAGTTTCCACGCACTTGGAAGGACCCCCTCACTCACACACTTTGCATACAATTCATACAAGTGATCCGGAATCGCCTTCCAGACACTTGTACAAATATCCGCTATTAACCCATCCATGTCAGGAGCTTTCCTCCGCCCTAGTTCGGACAACAAGCATTCCACACAGTCCTTCCAGGTTGTAAGCACTTGGCCTCCTACCTGTAGGGCACACACCCCTGTGTCCCTATTCTTGTCACACTCTCGCAGAATTTTGTAAACATGACCCCAGGGATTGTGCTCATATGTTAGCATCTTCATTTAATAGGCTTTGAACCTAACTTATTGTTTTATTATTTGTTAAAAAATCAAACATTTTTTCAAAAACCAAACAATTATAAAACTACTTTTATTTACACAATCTTGCGGCCAATCGCGGTCAAAAGCAACACGATGGACTGGCGAGACCCCCCGTACTCTGCCCTTAAATCCCAGCTTAATAGCGCCGAAAAAAAGGTACTATACATTCCAGCCCAAGAAAGTTGTAACTACAACCTACATAGTTGTAGTTAAGAGAATCCACCACTCCACCGACTTAGACGATATCAAGGAGGACTTCCGGCGTCAAGGACATGCAGTCCGTGATGTGCACAATGCCATAGGGCACATCTCTAAAAATCCGCTACCTATATTTTTTCTTAATCTAGAGCCGTCTAGCAACCACAAAGAGGTTTTTAGTGTGAATAAAGTCTGCCACTCTGTGGTCACGGTGGAACCCCCACGCTGCCAAGGATTTGGTCATAGCCAGCGATATTGCAAGTTGCAGCATCGCTGTGTCGAATGATGTGAAGAACACAGCCCAAGCGAGTGCAGGAAGAATCAAAAAGGAGCGGCAAAATGCGTGCACTGGCACGGACATCATCCTGCCTTCTACAAAGGCTGCCCGGCATATAAGAATGTTGGCCAAGGCCAACATGGCCCCTAAAGATCCAGACACATTCCCCTCTGACTGGAAAAAGGCGAAGGTCATCTTCATTCCGAAGCCAGGAAAGCCTCAAGCTGATCTTGCCTCATACAGGCCGATAAGCTTAATATCAGTACTATCCAAGTTACTTGAGAGAGTATTTCTACGCAGATTTCAGACTGTATTAGACAAGGCTGTCTTGATTCCAGACCATCAATTTGGTTTCAGGCGTTGTCACGCCACCCCGGAGCAATGCCACAGGATTGTACAAAAGATTCTAAACAGCCTGGAGGAGAAGAAATATTGTTGCGCAGTTTTCCTTGACGTCAAGCAGGCATTTGACAGGGTCTGGCATCCAGGACTACTAATGAAAATAAAAAGGAGCGTACCCCATGAGCATTACGCCTTCCTCAAGTCATATTTGAATGACAGGTCATTTAGGCCCATAGGCCCATTAAAGCAGGTGTCCCGCAGGGCAGTTTTGTTGGTCCAATACTCTACACACTATACACAGCAGATATGCCTGTTATAGATGAAGGAGGTTTGCTAGCCGCAACATATGCAGACGACACAACTTTCCTAGTCTCGGCAAGCATGTCCGCCCAAACTACATTTACCTTAAGGCGTCTGAAATGGAGGACCCATCTACTGGGCAAACGAATGCAAGTACAGGAAAAGCTGCGACACCTTTACTAGTTGATTGGACAAAGTCAACCCTGAAGCTGAGGGTAAAACTACTAATATATAAGTCAATAGTAAAGCCAGTTTGGTCGTATGGTATCCAACTGTGGGGCACAGCGAGTCCAAGCAATATGAAAGTCATTCATTCTGGCACAGAACAGAGCTCTCAGGACGCTGTCTGGGGCTCATCCTTACTATGACAATTTGACTATTCATGCTCAACTGGGCATCCCTACAGGCAGCGCTGAAGTTAGAAGATTCGCCGCTAAATACAAGGACAAGCTAACACGACATCACACATGTACCACCAATTTGCTGGACAGCAGCACCACCACCAGAAGACTCAAGAGGAAATATCCACTGGATTTAATAAATTTACTAAATGAACTTTTTAGATTCATGAATTGTATTTATCAAACTCCTATTGTCAAGGTTCACTTAAAAAATGTGATTATTGTATTAATAACTGTTCCTAACTGAGGACAGATTGTAAATAAAACTTTCAAATCTTATAAAAAAAAAAAAACAAGAAAGGAAAGCTAACTTCGGGCGGAGCCGAAGTTGATATACCCTTGCAGTTGAAACTGGATATATGTCGCAAACATCGGATATAGTTGGCCGATCCTTATGAAATTTGGTAGGTTGGATGAACTGACCAAAAATCTGTATATAGAATAGAATCTGTACCAAGTTCCAGCTTTCTATCTTCAAAAACACGAAAGTTGGGTCATTTCCGATCGTTCAGTTATATGGCAGCTATAGGCCGATCCTTATGAAATTTGGCATGTCGTAATGTTTTGCCAAAAATAGCACTCATGTCAAATTTGAACTCTCTAACTCTAAAAACACCAAAGTTATACCATTTCCGATCAATCAGTTATATGGCAGCTATAGGATATAGTCGGCCGATCCGGGACGTTCCGACTTATATACTGCGTGCAAAGAAAAGAAGGGTGTGTGCAAAGTTTCAAGACGATAGCTTTAAAACTGAGAGACTAGTTCGCGTCGAAACGGACGACAGACAGACAGACAGACGGACATGCTCATATCAACTTAGGAGGTGATCCTGATCAAGAATATATATACTTTATAGGGTCGGAGATGTCTCCTTCACTGCGTTGCACACTTTTGGACAAAATTATAATACCCTCTGCAAGGGTATAAAAATTAAAACTCGTTTGTCCGAGTATGTAACTTATCTTTAAGCTGGGCCAAGCATTCCGCATCGGACCTTCTGGCCTTTCGAGCCCATCTTTTCCGCAGAGATCGGAGGAACCGTTGCTGGGTCTTCAAATCAAGTGTCCACCACTTAACACGCTTACAAGTCACCTGCTACACATACAACTTGCTCATCCATATTCATAGCACAGAAGGCACCCACGACGCAGGACCAACTCTCCCGCACCTTGGTACGGGGGACCGGCACCGGGGCTATTGGTGGTCCGGCCTGCGCAGCGTCGACGTGGTTCGACGGTCCAGGCATCGTGGGCATGGTGAGCCTAGTCTCCAACTCGGCCACCCGAAGCAATGAGGCCACTACCAGCTCGTCGCACCGGTTCATCGCTGCCGATACGACCTTTATCTCCGCGTTGATGGGGGCGCTGCGAACGGCACGTGCTAGCACGGCTATCTTTACTGCCGGAGCGGCTTCGGTAGTTCTTCCTACCTCGCGGTAGGCGGTTTTTAAACAGCCTTTTCAAAAAGTTCTGTTTACGCGCCAATAGTGCAGTGTTAGTTAAAAACAGTTCTAGTGTTGTTTTCTAACTCTTTTAGTGTTGATTAGTGTTTAGGGTTCTTTAGTGTCTTGGCAGCCCCGCCACAAATTAATACAACTGTTTTTTTTTTGACGAATTGGCAACGTCAACGCGTTGGGTCTCGTCAAATTCGATAGAAACTTTTTATAGCCGTAGGGTATACTCGCAGGGTACAAGGGTTTATTGTAGTCGTGTGGATAAATGTAACATAGAGAAAGAATTTATTATATATATATAGGATATAGTCGGCCGATCCCGGCCGTTCCGACTTATATACTGCGTGCAAAGGATAGAAGGGTGTGTGCAAAGTTTGCAAAGTTTAAATAATATAAAGAAATTTGTTTGAAAGAGTCGGAATTTTTTTTTTTAAATTTCTATAGTTAATACTAAAATGGCTTAACACATGAAGTTTCATCCACCTGCTTTCACTTAATGCGAAGCAATTACAATTAAGGTGTTACGCCACCCTGACCGCGTGGAAACGGGACGGTTTTTCAGGAATTTCTTGTGACTAAACTAGTTGAGATAGGATTTTTCCACTTTTATTTCTATTCAATACAACTAATGAGCTTTATAAATTCTAAAAAAAACTTGTTTTCAATGCAAAATGGCGGAGATATGAACATCGGCAATCATCGGTTTCTCCGGAGTGCTCCTTGATGGTGGGCATGATTCACGTGTCAATTTTCATAGGAAACAAGTAAACAAAATTTTTTTTTTAAAAGTGATAAATTTGAAACAGAGTGACGTAGCCGTTTAAGAAAAAAAAAAAATTACGCAAATGAGAGCACTTCAAAAATTGACTCAATTTTTTGGACCACAAATTTCGTACTAAAAATTGCATAAAAAAATGTCTATCCATTGGATCGAAAAAATCCTAC